GAATAAGATTTAATACAAATCCTCTTTTTTAATTTTTCTTTTCGGTTGGTTAAGACATTTTTGTGTGTGTGTGGAGATGTTTACACTTTTATGTCATCCATCTCCAAGAACTATAAACTTTTTAATAGGAGGGGTAGTTTTTTTTTCTCTCTCTTGTTGATGGAAAAATAACTGCCAAGGCCGTGATTTCTAATAAATTAGGAAAAGTCCGGGACCGACGCGGCCCGCGTTAAATGTCCGACATACCTTTCTTCAGTTCATAGGCAGGGTCTTTGCACAGGTCTAGCTGGGGCTGGTTCCGCAACACTTTCGGGTCTTTAGCCAAAGCGTCCGCTCGGTTCAACACCGTCTGGTTTAATCCATTGAAATGCGAGCCCGGACCGGCTGTGGGGCCTGGCCCGGGCCCCGGGTGGCCGTGAAGGTGTCCGAAGGAGCCATAGTTCGTGTAGCCGGGATAGAAGGGCGCCGTGTAGTAGAGAGGCCGGGACAGCACCGTCCCGCCCGGAAAGGGGCACTGCCCCGAGGGCGAGCGCGATGGCGGCGCCGGGGCCGGCGACGCGCGGCTGCCTCCCAGGGTTTGCCCGGCTACGGACCCGGGGCAAGGTGCGCAGGGAGAGCCCTCGCTCCCGCCGCCCCCATCCTTGACCTTGTCCGAGGATGTGGCGATCTCTGCCAGAGACCACAGTTTGGGCTTGGCGAGCACCGCCTGTGGAGGCGGCGGTGGAGGCGAGTGTATGACCGAGGGCCCGCCGGGGCCGGGGGGCAGCTCTCCCGCAGCTGGGTGAGGGCCCGGAGCCGGCGTGCCCGAGGGGTAGTGAGGACCCTGGTCCTCCGCCAGCCGCGCCGCCGGGGAGGGCCCGCTGGCACGGGGCGGCCCAGGCAGCGTGTCCAGGCGGCTCTCGGATGGCGGCTCCTTAAAATCCGAGTCGCTGAGGCTCCCCTCGGTCTCCTTGCCGGCAGGAGTGGACGGCCCTTGCAGCCTTTCGCAGCCCGAGGCCGCTTTCGGCTCCGCTCCTCCTGCAGGCGAAACCCAGGCCGTCAGAGGTGCAGAGGCCGAGCGGCGGGGACCTGGTCCCCGCCGGATAAGGCAAAGACCCCAGACCCTACCCCCAGGCCCTGCGCGCCCCCTCTCCGGACCCCCCTTTTCCATCTTACTCCTCAACACACCCTTTCCCGCGTCCACCAACCTGCTTCGGGGCCCTCGGGGTCGCCCTTGTCCTCCGGCTTCTGGGGCTCATCCTCGTCGTTCTTCTCCAGATCAATGTTCTCCTCCTCCTCCTCGTCCTCGCTGCGGTTCCTCGGAGTCCACGTCATCTTGTTCTCTTTCTTGAGGCGCCGGCGCGCGTTGGCGAACCAGGTGGACACCTGGGTGAGGGTCATCTTGGTGATGATGGCCAGCATGATCTTCTCGCCCTTGGTGGGGTAGGGGTTCTTGCGGTGCTCGTTGAGCCAGGCCTTGAGCGTAGCGGTGGCATCTCGAGTGGCGTTCTTTCGGTACGCCGGGTCCCCGTAAGGGTAGGAGCCCAGGGGCGCCGCGTAAGGGTGGTACCCCAAGGAGCCTGCCATGCCGGGTGTGTGGTCGTAGGGAGAGCCCTGCAGGGAACACGCAGAAAGGAGGTGAGAGTGGGCCATGATCCCCACTGCCACCTGGGCGACCAAAGCACCCTGTCCTTGGAAACCGTGGTCGGAGGGCAGCGAGGCCCGAACCCCCGCTGGGGTAGGGTTGGAGGGCTTAAACCCAAGGGCAACCCCTCCCCCTTCTTGGAACGCAGCGGGAGCGCCAACTCCGGAGTCCGATTCTGCCCGGGCCTTTGAAGCCGTCCTGGCTGCACCGGTTCCCGGTAGGCCCCCGTCTCCCGGGGCAAGTTCGTCTCCGGCGCTCAGATACAACCGCCGCGGCCAGGCCCTCCACCCCAGAGAGAGAGGCTCCGGCAGCGGTGGCGACTCTGTGCACTCAGAGCCCGGGTGGCAGCGCGTTAGCCGCCAGAGGGGAGAGCAAGGAAAGTAAAGGCATTTTCCCCCCTCCAAAGAAAGACAAACGAAAAGCTAAACCTCGTCCGGGCACACCCACCCCTCCAAAAATGTTACCCCAAACCGAAGCCAAGGCGCTTTACCAGAAAGTGCACCCGGCCGAAAAAATCCCGGGTGCACCGCAGCTCCGCCGACTTTTCAGAAATTTAATACCTCCAAATCGGATTGCGAAGATAGGATTACGGATTTGCAACATTTTGGAGGACTAATTAAAGGCAAGGCCAAACGCATTTACATAGACTAAGCATGCTTCTGTTAGGAGTCCGGGTCTATTTCTTTTGAACTACTTTTCCCAAATCGCAAAACTTAAAAAAAAAAAAAAGATAAAAATTGAAGGGCGGTCTGAAGTTCATGTTTGAATCAAATGCTGCTCTTTAATTGCAGCGACCTCTCCTCTCAAAACATTTTCCGCCAGCTCAGCGATCCGAGCAAGACGCGGTACTCCTCCTTCCCGAGCAACTCCCCGAGCCCGAGGCCCGGCCGCGGCGGCAGAGCGAGACAATCGCCCAAGTTTGCAAGGGCCGTGAAGCTTGGCGGGGGTGGCCCGCGGTGGCGCTGAGGCCCGTGTCCCGCAGCCCCCGCCCGCCCCGCGGGGGCCCGGCTGCGCTCTCCCGCCGCGGCTCCCGCTCACTCACCACATACGAAGAGAAGGCGGCTGCCGCGGCCGCGGCTGGGTCGGCGCCGTACTGGAGGTGCGAATTGTAGCCCGGCGAGGGCGCCGTGAAGGCGGTGGAGCCAGCGTAGGGCGAGAACGCGGAGCCCGACGACGAGCGGCCGAGCTCATCCGTGCGGGGCCCCGAGATGACGCTGGTGCTGTACGCGGGGCACGAGTAAAGGGCTAGCGAGGCGGACGGCTGATACAAGTAGCCCTGCGGGTACGACATGGCCACGCACGGGCATGGGGCGCTCCGCGCCGCTGCCGCCAACGAGCCGGGCGGCGCCCTGCGAGGGCGAGCGGGCCGGCACCTGGCCTCCGGCTGCCCCGGGCCGCCGCTCCTCGGGCCCCGGCTCCCGGGTTCCGGCTCGCAGCACCTCCTCGCTGGCTTCCCGCGCGCCTCCGGCTGCGGCCGCCGAGCCCGCTCCTCTGCGCGCCTCACTCGCCCCGGCTGGATTCTCCCCCCCTCCCTTACTGCTTTCTCTTTTCCCCCCTCGCTCTTTGCACTGGGGGGCTCTGCTTTTGGCTTCGCAAAGGTCCTGCCAAGATGCTAAGTTGGAAATTGAGGATTCTGACGCCTTGTGCGCGCCCGAAGCTCCTCCTTCCCGGGGTGTATTCGGTGGTTGGACTGGCAGGAGCCTCTGGGCGGCCGCAGCCAACCCGGCCGCCAGGCGCGCCTCGCCCTCTCCCTCTTCCTCCCCGGCTCCCTCTCCCGCTCGCTGGCTCTCCCCTCGCCCCTCCCTCGCGCCCGCCTCTCCTCTAAAGCCCTCGTCTCCACCCCCCTTTTTCTCTACCCCCTCCCTTCTCTGGTCTCTCCCTCTTTCTCTCTCTGACTCTCGAGCGCCGGCCCCAGGATGACAATCACATCCCAGGCGCGCCGCTCTCTTCCAACTTTCCTCTTTGGCTAAGTCCGGGTGGAGAGGCCGTTCCGACACACCACAGGCCCTGGTGGCAGGTCTGGCCGACCCAAAGCACAAAAGAAAAGAGGCAGAGGACTGCGCGTAGGAGAATGCTCTGTTCTCACCTCCCCATGGTAAACCGCGGAGTTAGCGGATTTCTTGTTGGCTGGGAGGCTGGGCTCCAAGGCGGATCGCCACCTCGCTGCCCCTGGCTTCTTCGCCGAAGCAGGGGCCCCGAAAGTGAGTTCAAGATCTGGAATGAAGGTCCCTGAAAGACTCCGATGAATGCCCTAGTCCAAGGCGAGGGAGTCCGGACGACTATCCTTCTTTGCCAGCAGCAGCAGCAGCAGGTGGGCGAGAGACAGGCCTTGGACATCTGCACGTATCGGATCCGGCCCTTCTTCCACCAACTCCCCTCCAGACTGAGAGGCAGAAGACACTGGGGGCCTGGGTCCTGTGGTGGTAGCGTTTCTCTAGAGGGGAGGCAGTGAGCAAGAGCTGCTGGACGGAGAAGCAGCTACACGGGAACAGGTCTCTGGACCCCCCTCCCCTCCCCACCCGGCCCAAGCCTCGCTGCTTCGTTCTTGGCGCTTTCCATGCGAAGCTCTCTCCGCCAAGGCCGGTGGTGGTGGTGGTGGTGGTGGTGGTGGAGGATGAGGGTCCCCTACCCATTCCCACGCGCTCACACCCGCCCATGCTGCACTGTAAACACTCCGCAGAGCAGTGCCCAACCCAGCCGCTGTTTGTTCAGCGAGGCGCTGGCAAGGCAAACACACCACTGAGTCACAGGCAGAGCCCTTGCCCACGACAGCCACACAGTGAAAGTACAAAATAGACCATCTGCCAGCCTCTCCACCCCGCGCGGTCACAAGCCACAGACGCTTTCGATCTCGGGGACAGACAGGGGCGCTGGTGAACCAGGACAGGGGCGGGCACACGGTGGGGCACTCCGCCGGAGCCTGATATATCAGGGAATTTGTGGCCTTTTATAATGGGGTCACACGCAAGCCGAAGCACGACTATACACAAAGTGCCCCGCAATGATTTTGATGGGCAGGACACACTTATTTCCCGACCTCCGGCCCCGCACTCAAACCCACTGAGCACACAAGCACGCGCTCAGACGAGCGACTCAGCGCACGCGCCCTGGCTCCTCCCCTCCGTCAGCTTCTTCAGGCCCCGCCCCTCGAGCGCTATTCTCCGGGACCTTTACGATCCCCTCGGCCTTTTCTCCCTGCCTTCACCTCTAATTGGACGCTGGCCTCCACTGACAATGTCCCCCGAAGACTTGAGCCCGCCTCCCTCCCAGCCCCGGCGCCGTGGGGGCGGGGCTGGGCGGGGCGTCAGCGCCCTATTGTCATGGAGACGGAAAGCTTGTGTCAGCGGTGGCGGGCTCAGCCGGGCAGAGGTGGCCGTGAGCCAGCCGAAGCTGAGGCCGGGCCGAGCGGCCAGGACGACCTAACGAAGAGGGGGAGCGGAGCCGGCCAGCGGCGGCTTCTCGGGCAGCCCAGGGGCGGCGTCCTGCCGGACGCAGCCAGGCCCGGGTGGTCGCAGGGAGCGCCTCGGAGCGCCCCGCCCTGCTGCCTTGCCTCCCCCCGCCCCCTACCGTCCCCCGCCTCTCTTGGCCCCTCGGCTCCCGAGCGACCGCCCCCGGCTCCGCCCGCCGCCGTTCAGCCCCTCGCGGTAACGGTCGGTAGCGGCCCGCGCGCGCGCCGCCCGCCGGGGGCTCGCGTTGGCCACGAGGGAGCGTCCTCGCCCCGCGCTCCCGCGACGCGAAGGAAAGGTGAGCCCTGCGCCCCCATCCCGCCTGGTCCCCCACCCCGTCGCGCCCGGGCTTCCCGCCCCTCGAGCGGCATCCGCGTCCCCTCGTGAACCGGCTAGACCGCGGCGAAGCGCCGCCGAGCGCCGGGCGGGCAGAGGCCGCGTGAGTTGGGGGCGGGCTTCTCCCGGTGTCACGGACCCCGGGCGGGCGCGAGTGGGGTCCCCTCTCTCCACGCGCGACGGCTGCACCCCCTCGGCTCTCGTCCGGGATGCTGAGTGCCGCAATGGAGCCGCGGAGGTTTGTGCCACCGAGGATCTGAGTCTGTCACACAGACATCCTCATTACATCCTGCTGCCACTTCGGGCCGCTGGGCGGTCCTCCTCCCCCAACCCCCATCCGCTCTTCCTTCACTGTCTCCTTTTGGGTGTCGGGGCCTGGAGAGAATCCCGAAAGATAGGGCAGCATTCAGAATTTATGGTTCTATTGCTGTGGTTGTCACCTCCGCTCTACGTCAAATTTACGGCTCATTTCTTAAGGGATGTCTCTATTTTCTGCTTTATTTACACACGGAGGGCTCCGCGGCTCGGCCGCCCACGGCCGCGCGGCGTCTGCCATAGACCCGGGCTCAGGCACGGACGGGAAGAGCCGGTCAGCAGCGGGAGGAAGGGATTCGGGGCTGGCGGATTTCTCCGCCTTCGTGCGAAAGCTTTCACTTTTCTTTTTTTTTTTTTGCCGGTTTTCACTTTTTATCTCGGTAGGGGTGGCAGTTCGTTACCCTCCCCCATTCCCCGTTTCCCCCCTTTATTCCTGGGCTTTTCCGTGTGGGACCCTGCGGAGTAGTGTCCTCGGGCTGTTGTCACTGAAGCGTCCTCCCCCAGCAGAGGTGGCAACGACTTCCCCCTTCCTTCGCTTTACCAAGATGGCTTGTTTTGGGGGTGGGGGAGCTTACTATTGCGTTTTATCTTTCTGAACCTTTTTAACTTAGACGAGGGACAGGTAGGTATGTTCCTGGTTGCTTCTCACGCCGGAGTTTACATTTCTTAATTTTACAGCTCCCCGAGGATTTATTGGTTCGCCGTGTCTGCACGGATCCGGTTGGGCACAACTTTAAAGCTTGTTAAAAATAAGATGCACCATTGTATGTAGCTCAGACATGGCGGTAGAGCTCGCTTTTTGAGTTTTCGGCTGTACAGCTGTCATTGTTTAAATCAGGCGCAAAAGGAGGTTATTCCTGTCTATTTAGTGTAATAACTGTTTACAGTGGGAACTTTGAAGACTCGTGAAAGTAGGTCTGCTGTCTTTTGAAGATCTCATCCTTCTTGAGGGAGGGACCCAACCCCGGGCGCTGGGAGAGCCAACAGATTGCTTCCGTCACATCCCTTTGCTGTTTCGGAGTGTACTTAAAGGATTATGATTGATAAGGCTGTCCTCCCAGAGAATGTTGACACAGGTGTGCATCGTTATCTTAATTAAGATCCTGAGAAAGTGTTGTCTCTGCAACCGTGACACAAGGAGGGCCACATGTTTCTGGACAGTTTTGCTTCTGGAGAATTTAATTGCCCTCGAAACCCGTCTTTGAGCTTCCAGATTTTTGCGAGCGCTTTGGCAACCGGAGTTTTAGCGAGAAGTGAGAGTTCAGCGTGAAGTGTGCCGGCTTGTCCTCCTGCTACTTGTGGCTTTGGGGCAATGGCTTCATCGGCCTTCTTTGTGCCCTGCACCCTGGTGGTTAGTGATTGAGAAATAAAAGCGTGGAGCCGCGTATTAAGCAAATGTTTATTAGTGCTGGGAATCTTGTAGAAGAAGGCGTGCTTCATGGGTAGAGACAGGAATAAAAAAGGTAAATATATCAGGCATTTATGCCACTTCTTTTTTTTTTTTTTTTTTTTGGAAAACACTCTCCTGGAATGTTTTAATGATCGAAAAGAATTTTTTTTTTCATATCATCAGGTACTTAGCTACATTGCTTATGGAATGCCCTGTTTTTGATTTCCAGAAAGAGAAAACAAACTGTTTTATTTTTGCAAAATATTGTTCTGTAGATTCGAATCGGTGAGTAAGTGAAGATAGCACATTTAGCCTCTCTGAATAGTATAAGGATCTGAAACATACGCTGGGTGACCACTAAACTAATGCTACTGCCCTTGGCTTGAAGTCTCTGAATGGAGAAACAATAGCAAGACGGATACTGTCGATCACATTGCCCTCGGCTCACCCACAACCCAATACCCCTTCCCATCAGTGTTGCATTAAGATTTCCCCCCTCTCTTTGTAGATCACGATTTCCTGGAAGTCGGCTGTCTGTCAGTGCGCATGTGAGACGTGTGAGTGTTTTTGTTTAATGTGAAAACTCACAGTAGAAAGAGGAAATGAAAGTGGAGGAGGCCGTGGGCGCAGGGATCCGGAGGCCAGGTGTGGGTTCGCGGCTCACTCCTGACTCCAGGGCTGATTAGCCGGCCAGCACGACCTGGTAAACTAAAACCAAAGACAGACCTGCTTAGATTTGTTTGCTGGAATTACAGCAAGAGCATTAATTGTGAGCATAATTGCTTTACTTATTCCCCCAACGCCTCCATCAGAATTTTTTTTTTTCTGGCAGCTAAAAAAATTAAGATCAGCATCCCCATGCTGTTTCCCATGTATTATTTTAAAATTTGACATGCTGTGTCAAAAGAGATGGAAAAGGAATATATGGATCAATTACCTGTCATTCCTTTTTATTAATAACAAATAATTATTAATTTATATTTACATTACAGAACTCTTAGGAAAAATTTAAATGTTCTTTAGCTGATGGCAGGCAAGTCAATGAAGTTGTACAATCCTGAGTGAATTATGGATTGTGAAAACAGTATTATATTTTGGAGTAATGTTTTAACTCAGGTAGCACAGCCTGTTCGGTGTAGTGATATCTCAATATCTGTATATTTCCCTTCAATTTCTACATTTTGTCAGCTTCTGTGTTTTTAACCTTTTTTGGTACGATTATTTGCTGTTTCATAGAGAATAATTGTTTTTAATAGAACAGCCATAGATGCAGCTGAAAGAGGATGTAAAATCTTGTGTGTTTTTTTTCTTATTCAGTAATGACCTTGGGTTGCTTTTCTAGCAGTATTCTGAAGTGTGATTCTTACGACTTATTTCTGCATAAACCTGCAGTATTTTTATAGCCAGAGTATACCTCACCACCAATTTAGCTCGGCAAATTAACTTAGGTGCTTTGAAATTGAAAACCAGTATATTCTAATGTAGTTTGAATTTAAGTCTTTATTAGTAAGGGTGCTCTTAACATTTGTTCAGGAGAAGGGAATATAATTTTCTCTTGCAGTTGTCATTTACGTAATTCACTTTTCTCGCCTTTTCTCGCCTTTTCTCGGGCTAATGATATTCCACACCTTGATAGGGCCTTTATTTGTTTACTCGCCGTGATATGAAGTGATTCCTTGGAGAAAATTCGATTAGATATTCATGTCTAATATCCCCAAAGTACTTAACTAGTCTTCTGTGTTTCCCTAAACAGAATCGTCTCCATTTGCCGTGCAGGCGGTAAGTGTGATGCTTCCGTAACACACTGGGATGTTTTCAGCTGAGTTGACCGCTGACCTGTGGGCTTCCTCCAGGTGCTGGCTGAACGTCATCCTTGCACACCCCCGGGCCCATCTGCGAGTGAGTGTCCACACGGGGCGTGTGCGTGCAGGGAGCCCCAGGGAGTGTCAGTGTCGGTGTTACCCAAGTATTTGTATTGCTGTTGGGCACCGAGCGCCGCGAGCCACTTGGGGCCTCCAACTGTGTGACTGTACCAGTGCATTAAACAGAGGTTCAGGAGCAGGAAACATTTTGACTACTCACGAAAACACTCTGAATCATTCATTTTTAACAGTGTCGTTAGATAGTGAGATTTTATAAGAGTGCTTTTCATAAAAATCAAGGCTGAGGTTATATTTTATAAAAAATCATAAACAGATTAAAGAAATAATCTGTTTAGACCGAACTGCGGGTTTTGAGTGTTTTCATTACCCAGGTCTCCCCAGAATACACGCGGCGGGAGCACCAGCCCCAGGCTTGAGGGCCGCTCTCCTTCAGTGACCGAGAGCACGCAGCTGTGTGTGAAACTTGTCGTTTCTCATCAAAACGGGGGCTGCGGAACACAGGCAGACGAGAAAAGCTATGAGAAGAAATGATTTTGCAACGTATTTGTGTTGCGTGGCGAGGAGGGCAAAGGACCGGACTTGGTGAGAGAGAACATTTTGTTAAGTAAAAAGAAATGGTTGTGTGACCCAAAAAAGCAGGTTTTGCAGAAGACTTCTGTAGTCCGTAGAGCCTGCAATGGAACAAATGCTTCTCTGTGAATACTTTCAAGGGCATGAAAGTGACTTTTAACGTCATGCAAAGTGATGTATAATTGTACTTAAAAAACACACTTGTGTTCCCCTATTGCCAATTAGGCCTGATCGACATGGGGTTGCACGGATGACCGAGAGCTGAAGCATGACAACAAGTTAGAAAACACACAACACAAATGTAAAGAAAACTTTAAGCAGTGAGTATTCTGATTTCTCTTTGTGTGCCTTTCAGCTTAGGTTTTTCCCCCCACCCCCTGTATGTTTTAACCACGTGTAAAGTTGCAGAATTGAAAAGGTAAGAGCACTGGGGTTTTTTTTTCCTCCTAAGAATAAATACAGGAAAAAATCTAAACATATATGTGAATTGGCTGAGTTTTATATTTGCTGTCAGCCAACATATAGTATTAAGTTGAATATGTCGTGTATGTTAATGATAGTCAAACATATTAAAACTAAGACTCCTTTTACATAAAATAGGTCTGTCGGCGGGGCGGGGAGCTGGCGGGAGGCTCCCCACTCTTTGGAGGATGTGAAGAAGACGTGTCCTTTCAGCAGGAATAGGTTGTGGCTGATTAATTGAGAAGGTTGTCCTGAATGTTCTCTGGTGGAAATAGCTAGAGTATACTCTTTGAGAAATGTTTAATTCAGGAATAAAATCAATTGAGGTGTTGGTAATTAAATTGTAATTCCATGAAGGACGGAGGAGTAGGAGAGATGAGGCTAACTTATGGCTGTTTTTCTTTTCAAGACTCTGCCGTCCGTAACCCGCACTGGCTATTGGAAGGAGGAGATTCTGGAGATAGGGAGGTAATATTATCTTTTTTTTTTTTAAAGAATACTTTCCTCTATAATCCTAAGCCCTTATTACATATAAGAACTTTATCTAGTAGACAGCAATTTCTTTACATTGGAGATAGGAAAATGATCTGATTTTTTTTGTCCGTGCTAAGTTCTGAGCTGCTTCTCCCAGGGCTGCGGGTTGTGCTGGGGGAGCTGAGAAATCCCATTGGGGCCTACTCAGCACCCTTAAAATAGCATCTTTCTGGGAATCCGGACCATGGCGGTAGCCCGCGAGGTCCTGCAAGATGTTGTGTTATTTTGCCACCGATGTGGGTGTCGTCGGCAGGTCACAGAGCTGCCCTGGTTTACCTCCCGGCCTTTGTTGCCTTACCTGGGCGAGCGCTGTGTCTGCGTTCATTGCCACAGCCACACCCCGAGTGGGAGATGGGTGCTGGACTCCCGGTGCCCGGGCCCTGCCAAGGAGTTGGCTCGGCCCGGCCTCGGCCCAGGCCGCTCCAGGGCACTGCAGGCTGGGAGCTCGCCCGAGTGGGTGCTTTTCCTGGTTCGCAGCGTTAAGTCCCTTCCCGTATTTTGCGTAATCCCAGGCTGCGGGTAATGCTTTCCCTTTCCTCTCGTTAGGTTGGCCTGCTGCTCCCTTTGCAGCTGCTGCGGGGAGGCCCGTGGAATGGAGAGCCCTGTGTGATTCTGGAGGATGTCCTTGATAATTCATTCGCATGCCGTTTCATTTTCAAGAACCCCATGTCAGTGATAAAGACTGAGTCTAAGATTCTTGAAGAACAAGTGCTATGTTCAATTTGTACCCATAAGAAAAGATTCTGTCTTCTCATACTGTGTTACCGTATCGAATGCGCAGGTTAAATTGAAAACGTAAAAGCTTTTTGTAAAGAGCCAGTTAGTAGCTCTAAAAATGTTTATGAAGGGTCACGTTGAGTCACGGTGTTTATATATTTCTCACTTTTAAGAAGAATGCTATACTTCTCTAGTCATCGAAAATATCTGCTCCCTGAGTTATATCTGCGGGAAGATATTAGTAGAACAATAAAGGGCTTCGTGGTGTCCAATTGCATAATGAGGAAGTTGGTGAGCAAGGCGGTAACTAAAATTAATTTCTTCCTCTAAAGGAGCTAGTGTACACTTGAACACCAAAACCCTCAGGAAATCCCCTTGAATCTTTAAATCAAACGCTGTGTTTGGTTAACACAACAGGAAGGGGAAAATACACCAATCTCAAAGGTTCTTTCCTTCACGCCCAGGTAGCAGTTGTAAGCAGCTGAGAAAAGCGTTACAATGGAGCCGAGAAAAAATGGTGATACCGAAGTGATTACTGAGAAAGCAGTTTGCGTCTGCGAAACAGTCCAGTATTAGGGCCTTGACCAACTTTTACCCTTCATGTGCCTGGGTTATTGCTACGGTGTGTAAAATACCAGTCTCTGGAATAGCTTTATGCAGAATGCAAGAGTTTTTTTGAATTGGCTAATAGCTCTTGCTGGTCACCTTAAAATATGCTACGATATTACACAGTTACAATGTAATATTTATTAACAGAAGGAAAATATAAAATTTAATATCTGGGCAACTGAGACCTTTAAACCTATTTTAAAAGTATAATCTTGACATCTATGGCACAATTTTTGTCTTTGTTATGTAGATAGAATTATGGCTATTCTACATTTCAAATGTTGTATTTATTAATTCCAAATTCTATTCTCTGTATTGGGCTTTTCCAATAAAAGGTGTACGTGCTTCAGAGAGTGAAATTTTGAGTCGCGGGCTGATTTATTAAGCCTTAGTACACAGGAAAAACAGCCTTGATTAATTTAGGAGTCTGGAAGGGGGCAGGCAAAACCGTGTTGAGCTGAAATTTCCTAATGCAGCAACCATTTAAATTAAATGTTTGTTAACATAATAGCGATGGCATTTTCTCCTCCTCCTCCTCGTGGTTTTGTCCGGCGCGGTGTCGCAGTGGCGGCCGCGCCGACTGCTAAGTGTTTAAATGATGACACCATTATGTGAAGTGATTTTGAAATGAGAGGTTCCAGCCAAGAATTACGTCTGCCCCCACCTCCATCACGTCCCCCTCTCTGGCAGGGAAGATTATGATTGATCTGTTTGTGACAGATTGCAGGAAGCAGTCATTGATTTTTCAATATTTTACCTTAAAATTATTTACAGTTGTAACCATGGGGAGGCATTTCCACGGGCTGTCAGCCCCTGAAAGGCCAGGATAATATTCCCTGCTCTCTGACAAGACAAATTACCTGTAATGAGCGCAGTAGCTGAAGGGTATACTTTTATTTTAAAATATGTCAATAACCCCAGTGACTAAACGAATATTGATTTAGCATAATGAAGCCTGAGTAATGTGAAAATGAGCTTTTTCAAGGGGCACGGTAAAGACTTGCTTTTCGGCTGGTCGCAAGGAGCTTTTCATTCTTTCCAGCCAGCTAGTGGAGATAAAGAGTTTTATATGCAAAGCAGCAGCAGGCATGACGGTGGTGTTCCGGAGAACCACGGTCCAAATGTTTTGCCCTGGCTCTTAGAGGTTCTTTTTGAAATCCCGTGTGGACTCTTACTTGAGTGACGGGGTGGCTACTGATTTGCTCGAGCTGATCTTTAACCCACATAATATTTTTACAGCTTCCACGTATTTTGCATTAGACCTTCAGTCATGAATATTAAAATGTAACTATACGTACAGTCACTTGTAGGTGACATAATAATTACCTTAAGACATTTCAGATGGGTTATGGTAGTATTTAATGTGCCGTGTTTTATGGTAGAATAACTCCCAGTCCCCGGACATCAGATTCCTTTCAGGGGGGATGAAGATTGATTTACTTAAGCCCTGATATTGTAGATGCCGGTGCGTGTTTTCGTTTTTTTGTCAGAATTCTCCCCCTTTTAAAAATGTCCTTCTCGCCTTTTTGTGGATTAAGATCTCAACTCGGAAGGTCTTTCACGCAGGGATGACAGCAAGAAAGCATATAGCTTTGTTTTATAGTCCGTCACGAAGCCTGAAGATTTTATGCCTGAACAAGTATCTCCATTTCTAGCTTGATAAGGAGCAGTAGGGCAAACAATGGCAGTAACATGTAGCAGAAAAGTAACTATTTGAACAAGATGTCAAACTGATATTTCATGGGAACCTAACATGTTCTATGATAACTCATAATAATAAAATCTTATTAAAAAGCCATCGGTGGAATCCCTTTAGCAATTAAATAGTAGTTGTGATTTCAAGAAAGTTCAGACGGCTCTTTGTGAGTGCGGTGTTGGCATTAGGAATGTTGCAATCAAATGAAACCCGTAAACATACCTTTTCGTGGAACATGGGATGGCCTCTGGAACAAAAATTTACCGTTTTGTTTTGCCCCGGTACTTGCCTAAGGCTGGGACACGGAGGACTCCTGTCACCTGCCTTCGTGGGGCCCCACAGTGAGCCAGGCGGTTTATAAAAGACCGGTTTCGTGGTTCTGGATGCCGTGGGACTCGGTCTCTGCATGGCCCTGCCTCCACGTCCTTTCCCTGTTCTGTGAAAGAGGCTTTGCAAATAGAAACAGGAGGGACGCACCACCATCCTAGCATAAAACTGGCGGTCCTCATTCTCCAACCTTTACTTTGGCTTATAATTTCTTAGGTGGATGTAGTGTCCATAGCACTTAACCTATGGACAAGACATTCGACTATGCCCTTCAGAAAAAAGAGATTTTAATAGTTTTTTTTTTTTTAAATAAAGCATAGTTTCTTCAGACAAATCTATTCTAAGGAAAACATCTGTATTGTTGTACTTAGTTTATTTTGGAGTGAAATAGTAAATACATTGTATTGAGTGCCTCTTGACCCCAGCGTTCTTTTAAACCTGTGTGTTCATCTAACAGTACCTGTGGAGGGCTATTGATGTGAATTGCATTTAATAAATGCGTAGATACAATAAAACTTCTGGGCAAATTGTTTCTCTTTTGGGATTCACTACACCATTCTCCATTTCCCCTGTCCACCTAAGAACAGCAACAGCCTGTCCTTGTGCTTCTCTGGGGAAAAACCACGTAAACGTTAAATCATGCAAGCCGCTGCCTTGGGTTGGCTAAAGCATTTATTTATTGAAAAGGAGAAAATGTCCATTTGAAAAATATTTATTGTATGTGTATCTCTTAAGATGAACAGTTTACGTTGGTCGCCGTGGTACGGACCAGCCAACTTAGTTAATATTTTTTTCAGAATTTGTTTCACTGTGTTTGGCCGGACCGTCCATGATAACTTCCTATGGGAACGAATCGGCATATAATTCTATCTCCCAGGCGGCCTCAGCCCGTGTGAGAGGCACACGGCTGTGGGAGGGGCAGTGTGACAGCGGGTGCAGATTGACGGTAGCGGTGCGTGTCTGTGCACGCTCTGTGCGTCCTGGCTGGCGTGCTGTCGCCTGCGCTTCCAAGTGAGCGGTGAGGAGGGACACCCCTGGCACGACGTTATTCAAGTGCCTCCGACAGGTAGCGTTCTTCATTAGCGTACACAGTCGATCAGGGGTCGGGCTTCTCCCCAAGGAAAGTGGCGGGACGGAGTCAAGTGCACTCGGGGAGGTGGCGGATGTCAGAGACTGAAGATGACAAGGACCCTGACCGCTAAACGGATTTTCTTTCTTTGAGATTCAGCCCTCGGTGTGAGATTCCCCGCGGTCTGTTCAGTCTCGATGCGAAGGACGTGTAGCAATCAAGTGCTCAGGGGGTTTAGATATGTGTGGGGTGTTCCTATTTATAGACTGCGGTGTTTTTCCAGCTAAAACTCTCCGTTGCCGTTCCGAAGGAGGTTTTGCACTTCCGGTGGTCATCAATTTTAAATGCTTAGTATTGTGGCGTATTACCAAACATTATCTGTTCTAATCAAAGCATAGGGAAAAATCAATCTTATAGATTGACTTTTCCCCCTAAAACGTCTTTATTGGGTTGGATGAATGTTTGTACCCGAAAGAGCAGTCTCCAGAAAAATTCCCTTCTCTATCACAGAGATTCTGACAGTCGGGTGTCGTGGGAGCAGGCTTAAAATCGCTTCCTGGTGCGAGCATGCTGCAGTCCGGGAAGGGAAAAGACTTGGGACGCGCATGTATGTATGTGCACACACACACACACACACACACACACACACACACTTTAATTCTCTGTATTCATTCAGTGCCTCTGGAATGGGACGTTTTCTGCTCGCCAGATGCGTCGGCTCGGCTCACATGCACGAAGCCGTCCCCGGAGCCGGTTCCGCGTCGAAACGTGCGATGCGTGTAGAGGAGGCTGGCACCCCGTGTGCACAGACGCCTTCCCTTTGCGGAGCCCGAGCAGCAGCGCTGCCTTCCCGCAGGGAGGTGCTCCTGGTGGCCTTCTCGGTGGCCGGGGTGGGGGGGGGGGGACGGGAGGATGGTTCTGTGGATGCTTAGGGGGGAGGGGTGCGTCTGACCAGAGGGGCCCGCAGCTGTGGAGCTGGGGGGCTCGCCGGCGCTGGCATCCACCCTGCAAACTGCTGTGCAGTGCAGTGTCGTGGTGGGGGGGCCGGTGTGCGGTTCTTCCAGGCCTGTGGTTTCTGCAGAGACTCCAGGCGAGGTGGTGAGCACTTAAGCACACGTTGCAGTATGGCGAGATTAATCTATTAGATTAGAGTCTCCTTTTTAATTTTTATTTTTAATTAGACTCTGTATTTTGAGGTGATGATATATTTCACATGCAGTTGTGTCACGGATCCCAGCTCCTAAGGTCTGCAGCCTTATGGACGAGACGAGGCAGATTCACAGGGACCACCGAGTCCTGTGGAGGGGAAGGGATGTCACGGTCACTCTCTCAAGGGGAGAGCCCTTCGACCCTTGCCTGGACAAGATTTTATTGGATTCAATTTTCAGAGGAATACAGGGTGTATACATAAAGCTCATCAATCATTGTTGGGCAGAAGTGATTAAACAGTAGATAACATTCAGAGACTCTAAGGGCTTATTCTGAGGCAGGGTCAGATAGTTAAAGGGCCATAAAACTTTGGGGAACAAACTCACTTCCTGCTCGGACCCTTATCATTTCAATGGAGGGGATCAGCAAAATAGGTTTCATAGGATTTTATGCATTCTTTCTTAGGCCTGATCACCCTAGGGACCCCGCCCTTTCTAGCCCAGGGCCACACCCACCTCCAGCATTGTTTCAGGCTTAAGTCAGGCAGGGGAAGTAAGGCAGCCAAGAGATTAGGAGACTTCTTGCAGACAGAATGAGGACTCAGGCTATGTCAAAGCTGAGGGGCAAGGGTCCATCACCCCCTTTTTCCATAGCCCCTCAAGTCCTTCCCTGAGGGCCCCTTTGAGACCGTGCCTGTCTTAGGTCGTCCCTCTTTTAAGGAATCTTATCTGTCATTGGCTAACCAGTCATCTGCCTGGGGCCAAGCAGGGTGAAGAGAAAGGGGGCAGAGGTGGTTCCCCTACAAGCAAGATAAGCTTTGTCTCCTAAGTGCCTTATGGTCCCAAGGTCTCTTTACTCAGCCTTAGCCACGGGGGATTGCATCTTCTGAAACCAGGCAGGGCAGTTCCCAACACAGTTGTATTAAATAGCAGATAGCTCCCTTGTGCCCTTTCCCCAGTGTCTCCCAACAGTCACATGTTGCAGTGTGGAGGGCAGTATCACAACCCGGACACCGACGCACATACAGGGCATTTGTCCCATCACCAGGAGGGCTTCTCGCCCTGGCCAGTCAGCTCAGCTGGTTCCAGCATCGTCCCGATACTGCAAGGCTGTGGGCT